GGGCGATTTGGAAGGGTTGTAATTGCGAAAGTTGCTTTGTTGTTGGAGCTCGAGCAGAGGTGCTGGCTTGGCTGCCTTGGTAGGGTGAGGGAGGTGGGCTGGATGTGGTGGTGGTCAAGATGAAAGTTGCAGGTTGCAACACAAGGTCAATTTATACATCTAACACTGACTGTGCAGGTCTCATGCAGAGGGGATGCATGCAACACATCATCACCTCATCTCCTCTCAAATTGCTCCCTTCATATCACACTATCAGCCCATTACACTCAGCCCCTGTCTCACTTCTTACTTCCGTCATATGCAGGAACCAATGAATTCCTGCAAAGCCACTTCTGCCGAGAAGGGAGAAGCGACCTTCTGATTGGTCAGAGCGTGGTCTGTCTGCCTTCGGTGTCTGACCTGCGCCACGTGGCAATTTGCCATGCGCCACGTAGTGCCACCGCGGCGCTCCGGTATGGTCACTTGACAGCAAGACGAGGGAAGACACCTCTAGTATGCCACCACAAGATTGAGGCCGGAAATTGGCGTTCTTGATCCAGCTGAGACGCGGATGCAGACACTTTCGGGTTCTGCACCGCTTGCTCGAGCATAGCACTTTCTTTTGACGGGACCAAAAGAGTTTCAGGTGAGCGTTGGCAAGCCTGGCTGGGACTTTTTTGGGCTATTTGTAAGTATTGTGTTCAGTGTCAGGGCCAGTCATGCATCACTTGCAACAGTTTGGAAGTTTGTCCGACATGGACGCAGTGCAACTGGACGGAGAGGGACTTGCGCCATTGGACCAAGACCATGCTGCGCCAGGGATCAAGCCCTATTTGTGCTTTGTGTAGCAAGCTGGAGCATCTGTTGGCGCAGCAGATGCCAGAAGATCCCAAAGAGCAGTACATAAGACGCTTCATGAACCAACTCAAATGAACAAGCTTGAGGACCAAGGTGGCGTGTCTACTGCTTGCCTTGCCTGGTCTTGTTAGGCGCTGCCAAGGCTGCAACACTCTCCATGGTCTGTGAGCGTGCAGAGCCACTTGCACATGGCTCAATTGGAAGATTGTGACCAGCTTCTGCAATTCCACCCATTGGAGCCTTGTGCAATGCAAGACGCCAATGTTTACTTGCCCATTGCAAGCGCATGTTCCCTGGCAGCTCACATGGAGCAGCAAGAAGCATCCTGGACACCTGTGAGGGTGTCCAGAGTCGGTGTGACTGTATAGAGGATTCGCAAAGACCATGCAGAGTCCAGCTTGGGCTGAATAGCCACCTTCAGGCACAATCCATCACAAGGCTGCATAGCACCAAGAGGTGATAGCGCCTGGCAAGCATGCTGGCCACCCACCAAGGGCCCCCCTCCCTCATCACTGTTCTGCAGGCGCTACGTCGCATCAAGCACAAATGACAGGACAGGGGGTTCAGCGCGGCAATGCGTGATTGCTGGCCGCGCCTGTGACCGTGCAGAGTGCCATGCAGAGTGCCATGCGCCCCTTCAGCTGGCCGTTGTCATGCATCAAAGGCTCATGTGCCATCGGAGCTCGCAGGGTTCAACAACGAGTCTGGCGCGTCACTTGGACAACCTCGTGCTGGTCTTGTGTGTCCTGAATACCATCATCACTTTTGCTTCACTCGGCTATGTAACAAGAACGGATTTTGAAGAGGGCCAGAGTGGCGTGCGCTAGCTCCACTACCCCGTCCTGTGTCCTCGCTTCCTTGTAGAATCAGCC